GCGTCAACTGTAAGCACCGTAGCAGGCCAAAATCGTCTTAAGGAAATAGAGTCGAACTCTAGCCTCAATCTACTGTTTTCTGCAATTTTGTTTAGCGTTTATTCGGTTTGCCATTTCCTTCTCTTCATTTTAATTTTGTTATCTAAATCGCATGCTATATAATATGTCTAACGATAAATCATAAATTTCGAAAACAATAGATTCAAATCTAAGTCCAAGTAAATCCATGTTTGGCTTGGATAAAAATTAATCAATTTTTTTAGTAGATTTTGATAAAAATTGATAAAATGTGTGGTTAAAAATGATTTGAAAAAAAAATGAGAGTAAAACGACGACTAAATGAAATCAAATGCTCAGTTTTGTGGGAGATTTTTAAATTTTTTATTGAGTTTATTGGAAATTTTAAATTTGTAAGAAATTATTCATAGCTGAAATATCGAACTGAGATCAACTTAATAAGACATTAAGATGTAACCAATTCAAATTTAAATTTTATTGATGAAGACTTTTAATAGTTAGAGTTTGTCATCCATTTTATCAAACAGTGTTTGCTACAGTAAATAATCTCCATCAGTTAACGATTAATTTTACCGACTTTTCATTCACACGTTTTTTTATTAATTTTTATTAAAATCTATTAAAAATCTTATTTTTAATTAAACTAAACATAGATTTAATTTATTAATTTGTTAAAGACGATACAAATTACCTTCTTTATATACAAAATTTAAAGCTCCATAGAATTAGGTCTTCCAAATATGTAAATTGTCACATGCCATGGCATTAAATGTTTGGTAGGGTATACTAAATGCTGTAAAAGGCAATTTTGTACATTATTATTCTTGTTAATTTCTTCTTAATATAGCAAGCTACGTGAATAGGAAAATTATAGCTTGATAGACTTCACCGTTACTTTTCTTTTTTATCAGAATTTATTAGAGCACAATAAAGCTTCTCGTGACAAGAAATTAAACACAAAAGAGGTTGAACCCGCCCCTCCCCTAAATCATTGTGGATGAGGTAAATCGCGGGATGTTTCTCAATAGGGTAGGGTACAAGAGTTGTTATACCGGTGCCCACAAAGAAATTAAACATAACTACGAGCAAAAATTGGAGAAGACGTGAGTAAAAGTTTTTCTAGTGATTAATTCATGTACTTTCTGTTAATCCTATAAGTATCGTGTTTCTTTTGTTTGATAATCTAGATCACGTCGAATCTCTACTCATATATTCTGACGTTGTGATGTGCGCGCGCACAAAGATGGTTAGGTATCAAAATGTCGATGAATTTCATTATTAAAAAATCTTCGATTGTTCATGTTGATGGGACAAAAGTCGTGAATTCTTTGTTTACCCGTAGAATTTTATATAAAAAATATTGTAAACCACAAGTGAAATATCGCGCCAATTATTGAATGAATTGGACTTTTCAATAATATTTTTAGGTTTACGAGTCATAGACGATAAAATTTTCAACTATTTTTGTTAATGAGTTGTTGATGACCAGCCAAACGTGACAAACATTTCTTAATCATTGATATTAAAAGCAATAAAATAAGTTGGAATGGAGGGTGAAGCTAACTTAAATTAATGCATAGTTCATATAGTTTTACAGCTACATATTTCACTCATGCTTCAAACATCACTCTAAAATTGTCTCAATACAAATATTTGGAAGCTGCCTCAAAAATAATTTATCATCATTGAGGTATGTATGTATGGAAATTATGAAAAATCGACAAACAACTAAAAAAAAATGCATTTTTGAAAACACGATTGAAAAACAAACCAGCATACCAAACAAACTTATGAAACTAAAAAACTATAATGAAAAACGAAAGATGATCACTTTCAATAATAGTTTGTTCAAGAGAAATTTTCTCGAACGCATTGAAGGTGTAAACGAATGTATAAGGTTGCCGGTTGCCCTATTGCTATATTTCTAGACAAGAAAACAAGGCGATCCACGAGTTCGTCTCACACGTTTTTATTTCAAGTTTCTTTTCATGGATTGGTTGTATTTCTTGATTTAACCCATATTTGACTCCTTTAAATTAAAACTATTTATTTCTCGTTTCGACTACACATTCACACAATAAATTAGTCTGCACGTAAACCAAAAAATTTCCTTCACTTTTTAACCACGTACTCTCCAAAAAATCACTATTCAAAACATCATTTTTTCTCAAATTTCTTTTTATAATGTCTATCAAACATGGGCTTATTTCGTCTTTTGCTCAAGACTATATGAGTGATGAAGTCATTAGAGTGCCATTTCATAATTAGATGATCAATTTGGTGAACAACTTTACGTAACATCACAGATTAATTTCAAAGCCACCATCACTGACCACCGACTCTTTATTACAACTCAAAACAATCACAGACTCACTCTAAGTCAATCCTTCCACTTGTGTGTGTATATATGAATTGCTTGATTTTCTTCGTGTATAGATAATTAAATCAACAGCATACTCTCTCTCTAAGATGGGAAATGCAATTTTCCCATGTTGCAAACCAGTGTCAAGTTCATCAGTGAAGCTAATATTCCACGGCGGCGCCGCCAGAATTCTTACAGAAAAACTCGCCGCCGGCGAAGTTATGTTCGAGTTCCCGGATCATATGGTATGCCATGCAGACTCATTCTACATAGGCCAACCAATTCCTGCACTGGCCATTGATGATGAGCTCATAACTGGTCAAACCTACTTTGTTCTTCCCATCGATTACTTCCCATCTAACGTTCTTTCAGCTTCTACTCTAGCCGCCTTAGGAAATGGGCCAAAAAGGGCTGCGGTCATGAGTTTCAATGGGTGCCCTTTTGACCACTTGAAGGGATCAAACGGTAGGGCTTCGATCAAGGTTTTGCCAGAATTTTTTATCAAACTGTTTTCAGAAGGTAATGAGAATGGATCAGGTGAAGATTCCCATAGTCCGGTCGGTGGTAGTTTTCTGTGCAGCACGCCGGAGTTGCGGAAGCATTATAATCAATTGGTGGGGTCTAAGGATCAAGTTTGGTCCCCAAAACTCGAGACTATTTCGGAGTATACAATTAGGTATTCGCCTTGCAGATTCATAGGGTTGGAATGGAAGCAAAAGGAGGCAGAAAATTGATCTTCAGTTAAATTTAGAAAGTCCAGTTCAAAGCGAGTGATTACTTTATCCGCCTTCGTTCAAGCTTCTTGATCTTCAGGTGCGACAACGAGCTTGCGCTTTTTGCGTATTGCTGAATGGATTTAGACAAGATAAGACACGACAATACAAAGTTCTTAAATTCGCCTACTTCAATAACTCTCATCTTATGTCACAATCCTGGTGTGACGTGTATCTTCCCCCATTCATCAAATTTTTAGGATCAGCTGCTCGAAACCACAAAAAAAATCTCTCCAGTTGTCTAATTGTTACACAAAGCGTGTAAATTTTGTGCATTAATTGTTCTCCTCAATTTTAATGAATATATCTGTAAAAAATGTCTAGATTATGTGAACTCGTTGAAATAATCGTTAATCATTAGCTTAATTCAAGAAGTTAAATGATCATTTCTAAGACAGAAATTAAGGATAGCTTATTTCATAAATGTTGGGTTTTTTATACCCAATGAATCCCCGAGCAATGATGTTAAACTATTTTTGGATTATACTTCATAGGCATCGGCCGATGAATGAAGTAAAATATTGACACCGCAATTGTTCAAACCAATCATACAACCTATTTGGGTCATTTGAAGTAGCATAATTTAATTAGTGTTACTCGTGGTCCGACCCATAAAACTTGGTTGGCTTCTTAGGTCGATAACCCATTTACCAGCTACATATTAGCTGTTGGGCCTAATTATTACCGAACCTGAAAGTCCACTCCTATCCTATATATGTTTGACTCCCGTTTTTTGGCTTGGACCGTATGAAATTATATTTGCAACTTACCTGTGAGGAGAGAAGCCGGCTACAGTTACTTACTTCGTGCTTCCACCGTTGTGCCTTTTCTACTTGTTTCTTCCAGCCTTTGTGGCTTGTTCATGTGGCTGCAAATAACTCAAACCATGTCCTTTGTGGGCTAGTCAAGAAAGCAACCGATTGTTTCGGATTGAGTCGTGGTTTTGGGTTTGTGTGTGATTGTGGTGTTTTGATTCAGTATATAAAAAACATTCTGAGCCCGGAATCAAAGGTTATCTATTTTTCTTCAACAATAAATATATTAACTTTTGGAGAATATGGATTTTTGAATGACTCTGTTGATGAATATATAACAGCAATTCAATTAAGTTCTTTATTGCAATATACAGTTTATGATGAAATATAGTAGTTAATCAAGTTATTGTGCATGTATAAACTTTTCCTTGTTTCTGCTCTAGGTTGATATTTTACAGCAGATTATTTTCTCTTTATTTCTTATTCTTTAATGAATGGTTAAGTTAGAACTTTGCTTAAAAAAATTAATTCTAGACCCAATATGCTAAATTTATGTGATTTTAATCTATTCTAATCTGCAAATTTTATAACTGCTAAGTAACTTAATCGTTGGGTCGTTCTATATTTTCAATAATTCAGTAAACAAATGATGATTAATTTTGTGGTACAATTGCAAGTGCATGATTCAATTGAAGAAGCGCCACTGAAAATCAGCTTTTCGCCTACAAATGAATACCAATGGATTGTTTCCGTTGACAAAAGTATTAGACTTTGAACTGCGAAAATCACCAACTGAATTTCCGTTGGTAAAAGCGGTAGCTCTTCACTAATGGATATTGTGTGTCTAATGTTGTTGTTTAATATGCTTACCATTTTTCAACAGCATTTCCGTAGGTGGTGTAATTCAACTTTTTTTCTAAAAAATTTGACAACCTTACACCAACGGATTTTCCGTGGGTGAGGAATAGTTCATATTACCAACAAAATTGTCGTTGCTAATATTAGTCAATTTTAATAATTAAAAAATTCAAACTTTATCCATAGGTTAAGGGTAATTATTTTTTTCAAAAAAAAAAAATTAGCCTTGAAAATCCGCTGATGATATTGATCAATTTTAATAATGTCAAACCAAATGAATTTTTATTCCATATCGGAAGTTCACAACAAAATCTTAGGAGATGGACTCTATAAATTAGTGATCTAGTAAGTGATTAAACAACTTCTTAGACATTTCAATTCAGTTGGCTAAAAGTAAAAAAAAATTATAATTATTAAAAAATAATAAAAAATAAATAAATATTTTTTTGCCATCCTCACACATGTGCCTTTATTTACAACACTGGCTTTTACCAATTGTTATGGTAGATATTTACCAATTGAAAATCAATTGGTAATTGTTAAGATTTTTAAAAGATTGACACTTTACCCATGGAAAATTTGCTGGTATTACTTGCGACACGATCCGTTGGTAACTATCAACGACTCTCAAAATAACAATGGATTTGTGGTTGCTAGTATTCCGTTGGTAAAAAGTAATAGCAACAGATATCGTAGTTTTAGGAATGCTTGAAGCCATGTTTTTTTCTAGTGAAGTAGTAAAGTGGATTTAAGAGTCGAAATTATATTTCTCTCGGGGGCTATCTATTTAATTTGAACAAAGCAAATGATGATCGCAATCTTGATTAAAATAATATTAACTAAGAAAAATAAAATAATTTAAACTATCAAATAAGCTATCATCCTGTATGAACTTAAATAAGCAAGCACACGTATAGCAAACAAGTCATCATCTTAAGTGGCTTGATATGGGATAAATCTTACATCAAATAACTAAAAAAGTTATTAATCAACGTATAAGAACTTAAGCTACACCTATTAACAATGTTGAATTTTTAAAATGAAATCTCGAATCTTTTAAGGTGCATTTGATTACGAGTATAAAATTTGTATGGAAATATAATAAATTTTAAGTAATTCAATTACCTAAAACTTATCCATATGAGAATTATTAAATAAATATGTTTGATTGATTGAGTTTTCAATTTAGAAAATATTATATTTGTCAATTTTTTATTAGTAAAGAGATGGTGGATAGAAGAGAGAGAAAAATAGTGAATCACCCGAAAAATAAAAATCACATCTATCTAAAGAAAATATTTTCCTTATTTTTAAGGAAAATATGATCATATAACCCAATGTTGAAAAATATTTTCCGTGAAAAAATTATCAATCAAACACCCAAGAAGTAAGAATTTGAGAAAAAATGACATTTTCCATAAAAAATAAAGTCAATCAAACACACTCTTGGTTCTTACAACAACTATGAATTGGTACCATGGTTAAGAGAAGTCTTTTAAGCTTGGGAGAACTAAAATGTATAACATCATATCTCACAATTTTCAGAAACATTATCGAATATCAGTAATGGATACAACTGGACACTACCTTAGTCACAATCTTAATTAATTAATTTTTTTTTTACTATCACCTATTCAATCCCCCATGTATAAACATAGCCCTTTTTTGTCTACCATTTTTCAAAAAATTATTTTCTACAGTAACCAATATCTACCACACATTTAAATAATAAAATATTCTACACATAAACCGATAAAATTTCTTTCAATTTCAACCACACATTTTCCAAAAAATACTATTCATTACACCATTTTCTTCTCAATAATGGTTGACAAACAGGCACATAACATATTTGTACGATTATTTGTTACTTTATAATTAAACAATATTGTGTATATATATAAAAAAAAAAAGTTAAACTATCTTTCTAAACATGTAGAGTGGAGAATGCATATAATGAATCCCATAATTTTGTGCACCATAGAATGGAGACAAAATGATACATCCCATCTTTTTACCCATCTTCATTGTGTTTTCAATACTCAATTGCCACTTGATTCTTTTGATGGACATCACTCCTGTTTATTTGGAACTATACATTCATGATTTGGTCTAAAGCCCAACTGGCCCATCCCATGGTCAGGAACTTTTGAGTTTGGAAGTGCTATATTGAGTCGCTGCCGAATAGTAGCACTCTTTCGTAAACTTTCAATTCTTACATAAGGGTTTACACCCCGGTATACACCAAGATGAACGTGTAGAATAATTCTTCTAAGAGTAAATTCACTTTACCCGAAAGTGGTTGACACATCAGATGACCAACCCTCACATTGAGCATGAGTCCCACGTGAATAAAATAATGTCCGACCCTCGATGTATGTGTGTTCGGTCATCCTTTATGTCATCCCTTATGTTCGTGTAACATGATTCATCCTCCTCTTGGCCTCGCCATTCGAAGGGGACAATGTGGAGGGAGGTAAGGTCAAATAATTTTGCCATATGTTACCCAAAAAAATTCTTAGGAAAATGACGATCATGTCTAGATTCATGATCGAACGGTGGTGGAAATTGAGGATGGTGTATAGTAATGCTGATGCAAAGCACAGGATTAAAGCTCCATTTCGTTTATCCTGTAAAAAATAAAGGTGTCTGCTGCCCCATAAATTCGCTGACGCGTAGAGCGGACGGGCAGAGGATATTTAAACCCAAAAGCAATGTATTCTTTTACTTTTTACCCAAATGAATTCCACGCGCTTTTCAAGTATCGTTTTTATTTCCTTTCTTTCTAAAAACTCGAATGCAGAAAATGGAAGAGGTTCGTGTGATGCACGTAGAAGGCAGAAGCGAGTGGGAATGATGGGGATGGAAACAGGACAAAAAGTACGGAAGAGAAAATCGCGGGATGTAATAAGGCGGGGTTGTCCCTGCGCTGGGCTCGAGACACATACGCGCCTCGTTTTGCGTGAGTTGAAAACAAAAAAGCACTGACAGTAGTAGTATTAGGTCTAGGCTCATGCATTAGATCTACACTGTAACGCACAAAAATGACAGATGAGAGAGAGACACAGAGATAAGAAGAAGATTGGCAGTGTAATGATCTACGCTCATTTTTTTAATTTTTTTTTTTCCTTTCTTTCACACTTTTTATTTCATTTTCGAAATTGTTCGAGAACTTTATTTTTGTTCATACCAAGAGGCAAGAGGTGTCAATTGGGTCAGACTTTTGTATAGAAGCAGCCTATGTTGAGCGCGAGGCATCCTTGAGTTGACTCGAGTTACTCAAGTGCTTAGAGTTATAAATGTGTCGAGTCTAGATCGATTATTGTAATAGTTGAAAAAAGTAAAGAA